ATGAGTGATAGGTCTGAAGCCTAGAGAGAGAAAGATGCCTAGGCACGTGAATCATTGATACTTAATCCTCGAATATGACGCAAACAGGGACGAGAATTGAAGGCTCATAGGGAGCCAGATTTTAGACAACAGACAATGATTTTGAGGTGTAACGGCGACAAATTGACAAGCGGAGTGAAAGAAGAGAGGGCTGAAAGAAAGTCAGAAACACTGCAACTGGCACCTGGAACCGGTTGTAAGATGACTACTCCTCACTAAACCCACTTTTAGTGACACACGCTTAAGCAACATAGGAGAAAACGAGCTCAAAGATATGATGGGGGATCGAGTGAAGGAGATGCGGCACTAAAGGCTATGACAAAAATAGGAGTGAGAAGTGATGCCAAAGGGTTGAACGGAAAATTGGTCAATAGGATTGCCTTCACTTATCACTGATTATTTGCTACTCTGTGCTAACGATGGCGCCTCTCACTGACGATGAGGGTGAAACGTTTGGAAATGTACCAAGTCAACGGTCCGATGCTGGAAATAAAGATCAGTATGGCAGATGACACAGGACTAAGTAGGTCTCATTAGATCTTCTCGACGCTCCGACAAAGTTGCGAAAACGAGATCGAGCCAACATTCTAAAGCTAAAAGATAGCGCTATAGAACAAAAACCTACCCCCATCTTGGTATTCATAGTACCTATGATGTAAAATTAAGTTTAGAAAATGGACTGTCCCTTAGGATACCAAACTAAACAATTATTCTTCCTTTGGATCAAATTTATCTTGTACAAAAATTCGCCTTTGTTAAGTACTTTATGCAGATTAAAAAGTCAAATGTTAAATTTCAACGAGTAGATCATGTATTACGATGATAGGCAAGACTAGTGGGAAACGAAGTCGTGATTTCACTCCTATCGTCTATCTATTTGGAAGATACTAGCAATTATACAATGTAAAAGATAGCTACAAAAAAAGCATTTTCAAAATAATAAATAGGAATAATAGGGCTAAATTGCTTCAAAAGGATTGATTAAGTGGGTTGTATCAACCATGTTATTGCGTAACGTCCTCCCTACTCGGTTGTTACAGCTCATCATCGGTAAGGTTTTTCTTTCATGGGTACACAATATACGCAAGGCTATAATAACGAGGCCAGTGGCATGCTAGGCCCCCACGCTTCCTCTGTGCTTCCCACTGTATAGACTATTAATACAATCCCAATAGCTTTCCTCCCTCTGATCCGTATTATCTTTATACTTATTTTATATCCATACATATGATCTCTCATATTTATCTTCCCACTTGACCAACACGAAATTTACACATACTACCCAGCCAATTACTTGCCTTTATTGTCCACCCTATGGTAAATCTGTCAAATACCTCCCAACCATCCTTACTTTCGTCAAATTTCACCATCGGCTCAGAACCCTGAAGAGCGCCTTGGCTGTACACCCAACTCCAGCTTTGCTGATATCGTAGCCCAGCCATTCTTCCGACCACTCGACTTCGCTGCCTTAGAGGCCAAACAGGTACCACCGCCTTATCGTCCCGAAGCTCCTGCAGACCCACGCGACCTCGTTCACTTTGACCCAACCTTTACGAACGAGCCTGTCTGCTTTAGCCCAGATAACCCGTAAGTTCCGCCAATTCGTCTTCACCGTTTTTCAGGTAATATTTGAGGTAATACAAGTCGAAAACAGTGAAGGTCGGGATTCCGTTTCAAGTCCATTTTCAAGCTGCAAAAATGGCAGGGTACTTTTTCGAAGCCTCTATTAATGCTTGAATATTTAACTGAAAAATAAGAAATGAAATCAAAGGTGTGTTTGGCAATAAATGCTCGCAAGGTCTCATTTTCGGGAAAGCCTTCAGTGCGAAGAACATTTGAGAATAAATTCCAGTGCAATTTAATTTCATTTGGCCTTGCCTCCTGAAAAGTTTGATTCTTCTCCGGTCCCGAACATTCCTAGATTTTATCAGTATTCCCAATTGGATTGGAAGACAAGCGTGCGGTGGCGACACAGGGCAGATGCTACTTTCGATGCAGGCTGGATTGTCCATACTATATTTATAGGTGAAGTATCGATAAGAAAAATTCGGATTTGCCATTACAATCGAAGTGACTATGCAGAAAGACTAGGTTTCGAGATAATCCATAAGCCTTCTAAGGTGCATCTGTCCGGTAGCCCCTAGCTGGGGTAGGATGACAAACCCGCCGAGTGACGCTCCGTTAAGTCTGGTGACGAGACCTACGTTAGGTCTTAATCACAGGGGCCTTGCTGAGAAAGCAATTCAAAGCAGGCTATGTGTAGTTATCCGGCAATGCAAGGCCTTGCGCGCACTTCATTTTGAGGAAAAATATTAGTCTTAGCGGCAAATTGCGCAACCCAAGTTCTCATTTAGAATGTAATTACGTCTCGAACCTCACTCTCGTGATAATCCTTCTTGCATAAACCTTTATTAATTCTCCAGCGAAGCAGTTGGCCGCATCGACCAGTCAGAATTCGAGGGTTTCGAATATGTGAACCCGCTACTAATGTCCCAGGAGGAGAGTGTATGATGCCGCCCATCATGCACATGGACCTCGAGCAGCCTCTCTCGACCCGTACAGCCCATGCGCGCCCCGCCACCCGGATATACGAGTCCTCACTTCTTAAATGTACTTAAACGGCGCCAGCAATGAATATGTTGTATTTTAAAGTACCTAACGTATTCCTACCCTGCTGTACAGTGACTCTTTCCAACTATCATGGCAAGCTAACCGGCAACAAAAAGGTGCCCATGTTCATTCGCACCGCCGACCAAAAGTATCGGCCACGCTCAGATGAACTTCATCTTCATTCCCACAATGTTCGTCATCTGCCTGACTGAGATTTGCATTTGTTTTTTAATTACAAAGGCTTGTGATGGTGCACACATACGAGTATGGGAATTCGCCATGCGGGCCAAAATTCCCTCGACCAAGCTTAAGCCTGAGACAGGAATACCAGATGGCTGAACCTGAGGTGGGACCTTATTCAACCAAATAAGCATTGATTCTGGAAAACCACTAGCTGAGGCAACTTTGAAGAATACCAGGTTGCTCAAATAACAGCAGGCATTAAGCAAGTATCATAATTTCGAGACGGCTTCATAGAATTCCTAGACAGTTAACCATGGCTTATTGTTTGTGGAAAAGTGCAGTGCTTAGCTTGAGCCTATATTCAGCACTTATGTCGGAGAAAAATAGCGACAGGAAAAGTAGAACAAAATAAGAAGAAGCGCAGATTACTAAAGCCATTTGTCGAGCACTGAGTGTTAAACTGACCGGAAGCTTAGGGAGGGTCGTGCCATTTCCGAAGCCGTGACAAGGAGCTGAGATAAGGCTGGACCGGCTGTGGTGAATTCGATGTAGTACCGCCAGTGATATTTCATATCAATATAGGTCCACTCTCCAGACTACAATTCTACAGTATAGAGTTTAGAATTTTCTTGCGCATACCAAAATATAAACCGTCTTAACTGCTCAATCAAATTAAGAGAAAAACGTGGGATAAGCTGGGATAAAAGGTGAATATTTCATGTGAAAATGATGTACAATGAAAATATAAACGTTAATTTGTACGTG